GACACTATGAAACTACCATATTTAATTGATAGCTTAAAGGTACTGAATAAAAATCCAAATGGGGTCCTCCAAATTTTATGCATGGTATTTATTTTACAGAATTCATACAGAAAAATGCATTCTAAAATTAGGTAAGCTACTGGTGTAAGCTTTTTCTGTACAATAAAGTTAGTCGGAGTTTCTTTCTTCAGCGCTGTCTGAATCTGAATCTTCATCACTCTCAAAGTTGATTATTAAAGGTTCGATGTCTGGTCGATCAAAAATTCGTTCTCTTTCATACCATTTAAAAATTTCTTGCTCAGTATGTCGAACACTATTTTTCCACATGTCTGGGGTAACCGTTTGTAGAGCCTCGTTCCACATATCCAAACAGTCTTTTTCACTGTTACCATCTCTACCAATATGTCTGTTATAGTAACCTTTTGCTATGCCCCAAATTAACTCAATAGGGTTAAATATATAATGGAAAGGAGGCAGACGAAGAACTTTGTGCCCATGTTGTTCCGCCAATTCATCAATCACGTATATTTTAGGTGGTTTGTTTCTAAAAAAGCAGTTATTTTAAGAATAGGAATAAACAAAAGAAATATAAACTGTCGACCAAAATATATATAATTAAGAAGCATTATGTACCGAGCAACAATACTCAATAGCTCTGTTTTAAACATTGTGTTTAAAAATGGTATGTTTTGATTTGTCAACCAGTCTTGGATATTTTTTTTTGTCCATGCATTGTTGGGCACTTTGTTCAATATCATGCTGTGATAAGGGGCGTTATCCAGTATAATCATAGATGGACTCTCCAATTTTTCTAATAACTGATGTTGAAACCATTTCAAAAAATTGTCCTGGTTCATCTCTCCATGGTAATCGCTCAATTTTGTTTTCGAAGAAAATATCGCTTCACTACCCTCAATAAACCCATTTTCATTTCCAGCATGTAATATAATGTATCTAAAATATATTAGTTTTAAATTTTATAGTGCAAATTGTGTAAAAGTACATACCTTTTACCATCTGTTTTAATAGCTTTCACGCTTTTTTGGTTTCCATTTTGCCAAGAGCGACCTATGGTCCCATTTTGAAATATCCAAGTTTCATCGAGGAAGACAAACTGGTATAAGGCCTCAACCTTGGCTTGATTGTATTGCCTTAGAAATTCCACCCTTTTCAAAGCTATACTTGGTAGTTCCATGAGCCCTCGTCGCGGATTGTCCTTAAGCCACTTAAATCCAAGATCTCTAAGCAACCGCCTTAAAGACGTGGCACTACCATCAAATAATGCCCTATCTCTTAATCGAGACCATAAAGTTTGTATCGTAACTTGTTCTTCTGAAACCATGTGTAATATGACATTATAATTTAGTTAACAAATTAATGCAAATTTCTGATAAGTTATTATAATAAGATCTTACTTTTGTGATACATATTATAGATCACTTCTCGAATGGCACTTGTATCCAATGTCGCTGTGTTGGTTACACGTTTAATATAACTCCGCTTTTTCTTGGGCGATTCTAAATTTGCATCACTTTTCACACCCTCGGAAATACGACTAACTGTCCTTAAACTAATTTTTAAAGCAGCAGCAACACGCTACAAAAAATGAAATAAAATTTCACTATTATTAATATACATTACATATAATTATTAGCAACCTACCTCTTGAACAGCATTTAAAGGCAACAAAGGCCCGTTGTTGTCCCTTTCTTGCTCAAAGTAGTGCATTAACGAGGCCACGAGTTCCTTACACCGACTATTTAACTGTTTGGGCATCTTTATATACCAAAATTGCCTTTATCTACTCGTAAAATGAATAATTTTGTTTTGAAACAAACAGTTGTTGATTTACAGTATGCGGGGCCAAAGGATTTATAAAGATTTGAAATGCCACAAATTGATTCAGTGTCAAAATTAATACAAATGTCAGTTCCCAGTTTAAATAAGTTTCAAGGTGACAATGTGTCAACGCTGCGAAATCGGTTTAGTGCGTTTACATGTCGATAAGTGATTGGAGCGTTTGCAAAACATTTTATTTCGCATAATGCGTCTAAATTTATCAGAAAGCAACTTATGTGATATTTTAATAACAATGTTTATATGACTATTAACCATAATAAGAGAGTAATGACCATTTTACAATTTATATATCACATTAATATGAAACTGCAATAGAGCAATTGTTTGTGATAGAAACCTAGGAATTAGGTTGGGGAATTTTTATCGTGATGACGTGCACGCCACTTTGTTTGGCGTTGACTATAGTCAACTTATTACTAGATTTGCGCGTCTAAAAAATTATCCGACATACATTGAGATACCGTAGCGTCATCTGTGATAACTTCTCTCCTCTCCGCAATAATTAGAAAACGACTTTAAAAAGGTTAACGTCCCATAGGCGACGCTGTATCCAACTATGTATCAACATACAGCAACAGCGCCATCTCTGAGCCGCACAACCACAAATGTATGTATTTTAGAAGCCAAAATGGTTGACGCAATTCTTATCTGAGCAAGTTTTGCCATAGAATGTAGACTTGACTCTGTATACTTATGATAAGCATGCTGTTCAAAATTCGACTTTGACCATTGGGACCTGCGAAACGGTAAGAGATTTATAGTTATTGTCGAAAATAACCAGTTAGGTGTAAATTCATGGGAAATCGACATATTATACGAGGGTGGTCCCAGAAGTACCCGGCCAGACCTAGAGATGGCGATAGTTGTTTGAAAAATATCATTGTATTAGAAAGTATGCAACCTATAAAGCATATGTGTCAAGTTTGAAGACGCCACGTTGTTTAGTATTTGGCAGCCATCACTGAATGTTTTCAGTGAATTTGTGAAAATGGAGAAAATTGGTCATCGTTATGTGGTACAATACTTTTATTTCAAAGGCCTCAGCCCAACCAATATAAAAGCTGAACTGGATTCTACTCTGGGCGAGTCTGCTCCTTCGTTTGCAACAGTAAAATATCGGGTAGCAGAGTTTTAACGAGGCCGTATGAGTTGCCAAAAATAAATACAGTTTTTTACAAAAATTTTGTGTTTTCTTCTTTGGGTCGTGTACTTCTGGGACCACCCTCGTATTTGTGTGAATCTTCTTTTTCAAATATGAAGTTTATTAAAAACAAAACACCGTAGATGGACAATTATATTCGAATGGCCGTATCAAATTATACTACAAACATTAAAAAAATGTCACCGAGTCAGCATTTTTTATCTGGTCACGTTTTTGTTTAAACTAGTGCGTTGCTTTTTTATTTTCAGTTACCTTTATTAAATCGTATGACATGCCATTGTAGCTGACGAAAAATTTTGTTTATTTTTCAAACTCCTACGATTGGTAGGAATGGATGTAGTTACGTAGTATGTATACTAAGTGACATATAAATCCGAACACCCAGTTTAAATGGTTTTATTTTAATAAAATTTTGTATAAGTACTTAATGAAGCATAATAAGTAAATGATAAAAATTTCAAAATGATTGCACTGCTTTAAAGCCCTTTGACCTTTAATAATGTGTGGATGCACCCTGATGTGCTACGCATTCTCCAACGCGCCTAGGCATGCTTCTGATCAGGTGGTCAATGTCCTCCTGTGGTATCTCATTCCAGGCAACCACCAACTCCTCTCGAAGTGCTTCTAGAGTCTGAGGACGTTGCAAATTGAGCAATCTCCTACCCATCATATCCCACACGTGCTCAATTGGGGATAAGTTGGGAGATCTTGGTGGCCATGGTAACAATGTGACATCATTATGTTGAAAGAAGTCTATTGTGACTCTTGCAACATGTGGTCGGGCATTATCTTGTTGGAAAGTTGGATCTGCCAGGGTGTCAAGATAGGGTAAAAGATGGGGTTCTAGAACATAAGCTGACACTCCACCTTTTCGTCACTGTTCCTTTTAAACCAATTATTTTGTAATCGTGTGACGAATAACGGCCATTTATTATTATTATTATTATTATTATAACGCTGCGCGTTCATGTTACCTCTGATGAAGATTATACGTAAAGGAGACCTGGAACCATAAGCTATAGCACCCCAAACCATAACTCCAACAGTGTGATGAACATGTCTTTCAACAAAAAGCTGTGGAGTCCTCCTTTCACCACGTCGCCTTCTAACCCTGGCACGACCATCGTGCATGCCTAAACAAAATCGAGACTCGTCACTAAAGACAATACTGTTCCATTCCTGATCCCAGAGTGACCGTTGTCTGCACCACTCAAGGCGATTACGTCGGTGTTCTCGAGTTAAAGGGAGGACCCAGTGTGGCCGGTATGAAAACAAGCCAAAACTTCTCATTCGTCGGTAAACACTTCGTATGCCAATAGGTCTTCCGTGTTCTGCAAACCATTCATTTGCAATGGACCTGGTAGTGGAGTAACGATCCCCTAAGGCCAATAATCTTAGGCGGCGATCTTCACGGTCTGTTGTTCTACGGCGGCGTCCAGTGCCCCTTGCTCTTTGCGTACGGCCTTCTCGAAGCCATGCCTGACAACACCTAACCACAGGGTCTACACTTCTTTGCACTCTAACTGCAATTGCCCGAAAAGAATGTCCAGCTTCCCGAAGTCCAACTATACGGCCCCTATCAAACTCACTAAGTTGACGGAATCGTACAGGTCTCCGTACTCTAGGCATCGTAACCGATCGTAAAGGATGTCAAGAACCAAAATCCGCCAACGTTGATTCTTTACTGCGGCTGAAATATTCATTTTTACAGCGTTAGTGAATTAAAAAAAAGCAGTATAAAAACCGGAATGTCCAACTGATAAGGCTGAAAAATTTTTCACTTGTTATTTACAGTAAGATAAATACATTCACCAACTTTTATTAAAATAAAACCATTTAAACTGGGTGTTCGGATTTATATGTCACTTAGTATATTACAAAAAAATTGACATATCACTTACAACCCATATTTATGAGGAGTGAAAAATGCAAAGTGTATAAAATATTAATGGAAATCGTAACTGTTTAAAAAACTCAACATTATAGCGGAGACGTGATAAGCTCATGGTTTTAAACCTATTGTCCAAAGAATTATATGTTACCGCAACATTATATGAGAAATTTCGTTTTAACAAAGATGTTGTTTCTCGTAATTCTGATAACGTGCCTGACCCTAACAGTTCTATCGTGTATAGTGTTATTAAACATTATTTTTTCACATAGGTACTGTGGTACTGCCGCATTTCAAGACAGACTCAACCAAGCTGTCGCAAATTTCACTATAATACTTTGTTTTGTGACCTCAGTCATCAAGTTGTTTTTTTCCTATGTACGCCATACTGGATTCTTGCATATGTGAGTATAGTTTTTAATCCTTATTGCAAAAATGTATAATGTGTCATATATTTTTATTATTATAAAACTTAAAAGACATCCGTCGTATACAGGGTGTAACTAAAAGGTGCATTTTGCCCTAAATTTCTGATCACGCTTGTGGAAACATCGGATTACTGAACAATGTGTCGCCGTATGCCTCAACTTTTCTCAACAGTTCTGTTTTTGGTTCATGTCAATATCTTAATTATTGAGGGTGTCCCAGAAGTCGACGTCAAGCCGAAACCGGGTGATAGGCAAAGTCATAACAGCTATCAGAAAAATATTTAAAAAAATTTTATGTATGTGTTTTGAAAATTATAGGTCTTTGAAAAAAGTATAGAAATTTCACACCGTACGGCAGTCTGTCAACTCCTGTACCTACAAATATTAACTTTTTTTTGATTTTATTTTTACAATGTAATGATGAACAATGCATCTTCAAACTGGTGTCTCAACCTTACTGCCAGCTTTTCTCGTTCAGGAAAAATTGCCACATATTTCGCAACCAAGTATTCCAAAGTAAAACTTTGCTCAACTTTAACTGGCTGTACTGGAAAAAATGTACTACGAGAGTTTGGCAAGTAACCTTACAAGTTGGCGCATTTAGTAACGATTCCAAAATGGTATAACACTTAGAAGATTACTCGTTAACTTACGCACAATTTTTATTTGAAAAAAAAACTGATGAAAATTTTTCAAAATTTCCTAATTAAACAGCGATTATGAAAACGCACAAAGGACCCTTAAGGATAACTGTTAGCACAACAGTGGGCGTCAAAATGCTGCTGGTGATGATTTACCTTTACACCAAATGCTCAAACTGTTTTCCTTCAGCCGCAATACACGCTCGACTTCTTCTTAAAAAAGATCGGGTTATTAAACGAGCGAATCCACGCTTATTATCAAACTCAGCTGCTTCCAATAGTCTTTGCCGTAGCTCAGCTACATTTTGAATCGGCTTGAAATATACTTTTTCTTTTACAGTTCCCCAGTAAACAAATCTAAAGGATTCAAATCAGGTGATCGGGCTGGCCATGGTATTGTACCAGACCGCCTTGTCCATCTGCCTGGAAAGTTTTGATCGAGATACTCTCTCACTGAGAGTGCATAGTGCGCTGGGCAGCCATCATGCTGAAACCACATGTCCCTGTAAATACTCAGTGGCACGTCCACCAATAAATTTTGTACATGATTTTTCAAAAAATCCAAATAAACTTCAGCAGTTAAAGTCTCTGGGAACTCAAACGGACCGATTATTTTACCATTTAAAATTACTGTCCAATGGTTTATCTTGAAGCGATATTGAGATTTATCTTCTCTCATCAAATGTGGGTTTGCTACGTGCCACGCGTGTAAGTTATGCAGGTTCATGTACCCATCTTTCTTAAATGTGGTCTCATCCGACCATAAAATTTTTTCAAAGAACTGTGGATCTTTCCTGTGTCTTTCTAATATTGTGCGACAAAAAGCAACTCGGGGCTCATAATCCCGGGGCAGAAGAGCTTGAACACGCTTTCCTTAGACTATCTTTGATAGTGTGATTGTGCAGTGCCGCTATGTCCGTGTACACCGTACAAGAATATGCTAACATGCACCTCATTTATGGGGAATGCAGATGCAACGCTAGTGCTGCAGCGAGACTTTACTGTGAGAGGTACACGAATGCAGCTCGTCATCCAGATCATCTAGTGTTTACAAATGTGCACCGCTTAGAGCTCAGAGGGCCATCTACCAAACCAATCACACGGTGAGGGAAGATCTTTCCTTCCTTACGAAGACGTGGTGCTAGGAGCTGTCGAAGAAGACCCGAGTACTTCAGTGCGTGCAATAGAACTAAAAACAGGTGTGCCCAAAAGTACAGCCCATAGAATCTTGCAAAAAAACGTGCTCCATCCATACCACGTACAGCGTGTTCAAGCTCTTCTGTCCCGGGATTATGAGCCCCGAGTTGATTTTTGTCGTACAATGTTAGAAAGACACAGGGAAGATCCACGGTTCTTTGAAAAAATTTTATGGTCAGATGAGACCACATTTAAGAACGATGGGTACATGAACCTGCATAACTTACACGAGTGGCACGTAGCAAACCCACATTTGATGAGAGAAGATAAATCTCAATATCGCTTCAAGATAAACCATTGGAGAGGAATTTTAAATGGTAAAATAATCGGTCCGTTTGAGTTCCCAGAGACTTTGACTGCTGAGGTTTATTTATGTTTTTTGCAAAATCATTTAGATTTATTGGAGGACGTGCCACTGAGTATTTACAGGGACATATGGTTTCAGCATGATGGCTGCCCAGCGCACTATGCACTCTCAGTGAGAGAGTATCTCAATCAAAACTTTCCAGGCAGATGGATAGGGCGGTCTGGTACAATACCGTGGCCAGCCCGGTCACCAGATTTGAATCCGTTAGATTTTTTTTACTGGGGAACTGTAAAAGAAAAAGTGTATTTCAAGCCGATTCAAAATGTAGCTGAGCTACGGCAAAGACTATTGGAAGCAGCCGAGTTTGTTAATAACCGTGGATTCGCTCGTTTAATAACCCGATCTTTTTTAAGAAGATGTCGAGCGTGTATTGCGGCTGAAGGAAAACAGTTTGAGCATTTGCTGTAAAGGTAAATCATCGTCAGCAGCATTTTGACGCCCACTGTTGTGCAAACAGTTATCCTTAAGGGTCCTTGTGCGTTTTCATAATCGCTGTTTAATTAGGAAATTTTGAAAAATTTTCATCAGTTTTTCTTCAAATAAAAATTGTGCATAAGTTAACGAGTAATCTTCTAAGTGTTATACCATTTTGGAATCGTTATTAAATGCGCCAACTTCTAAGGTTACTTACCAAACTCTCGTAGTACATTTTTTTCCAGTACAGCCAGTTAAAGTTGAGCAAAGTTTTACTTTGGAATACTTGGTTGGGAAATAAGTGGCAATTTTTCCTGAACGAGAAAAGTTGGCAGTAGGGTTGAGACACCAGTTTGAAGATGCATTATTCATCATTATATTGTAAAAATAAAATCCAAAAAAAGTTAATATTTGTAGTAACAGGAGTTGACAGACTGCCGTAGGGTGTGAAATTTCTATATTTTTTTCAAAGACCTATAATTTTCAAAACACATACATAAATTTTTTTTAAATATTTTTCTGATAGCTGTTATGACTTTGCCTATCACCCGGTTTCGGCTTGACGTCGACTTCTGGGACACCCTGTATGTTGTTATAGCCCCACGGTACCCCCATGGGTGTTTAAGCCTCAGGCCTTCGTGGTAGTTGGAGTATAAAAAAAAACTTATAGATGAGAAAAGGTGTCAATGTTAATGTGCAACTTAAGTCGAAATCCCACCTCAAGTCATAAAAAAATGATAACGATTTTGAGAAAATTCTGTTTTTCCCGTTCCCGAGATCCCAATGGTGAGGTTCGATTTTAAAATAAACGATGGATCGCCTAGACTATCCAGTCAGGCTGATGACCGTGCAGGGCATTATAATGCATGTTCTACTTGTATGCATCGAAGAGAGAAGTAACAAAACAGGAATACAAAATGAAGCGAATCGTACATCATCCCATTTGAATGATACTCGTGTGTACAGGGTGGCCAATATATCACTGACTGTGGCCAATCCATCATAGAGCGCAACGCGATCCCACAACGCGTCCGTATTGTTGAAACGTTTTACTTCGTCATTTGGTGCGGAATTTTGAACTAACAGGTGAAGTTAAAGACTTGTCAAGGTCGGGCTGTGTTCGAACTGTTCGTGCTTCGGAACATATCGCGAAAGTTCGTGAAAGTGTAGTGGAGCGCCCTGAAACGTCTACGAGACATCGTTCTCAAGAACTGAAAATAGGGTTTATGCGAACAAACCAAATACTGTAGAGCAGCTGAAGAACAATACAATTCCGGAAGCGATTGAAAATATTCCCCCCAAGCCTACCAAAAAGTGATGGAAAATGTAATCAGGAGGGCTCAGGTTTGCGCGGCTTCTAGACGCGGACATTTGTCTGATATTTTTCGTACATAATTCCTAAGTTTAGAAAACTTAGGTTTCCGTGGAATAACATACAAACTTATAGAAAATTACACTGATCAACAGCCAAAAACTATCCTAAATAAAATCAACAAAATATTACTATTTTTAATGTGCTAAAACCGGAATGAAACTTATTTTCTCAATATTAGTTCAAGTTTTAGAGATACGGTAATTATATGTGTTCCTGCTGTGACAGTGTTAATATACTGTAATTCACAAGAATGCACGTGCTACATTTTTATATTCGGCAAAGAAAGATGATGTAATCGGCATGATTGTGTTACGTTATACATACGTGTACATTATATTGTTTTATATTAGCCATTTTTTTCTCAGTTGGCTGACAGCGTTCATGCAAGATGTCTCGAAAGTGTGTAAACAATGCAGACGTCATGCCACCAACCGCACAAAATAACACAGTCAGAATTAAATGATCTTGTAAGAGATTTAGAACTTCCAAAATGTAAGGCAGAGTTACTTGGATCAAGACTGCAGCAGTGGAACTTGTTATAAGACGATGTTTCGGTATGTGTTTTTCGTAAACGCCACAAAGACTTAGAACCATTTTTCAATATGGAGAATAACTTGGTTTTCTGCAGTAACATTAACGGCTTACTGGCGGCTTTAATATAAACTATAACCCAGAAGAATGGAGATTGTTTATAGACAGTTCAACATTGAGTTTAAAGGCAGTGTTATTGCATATTGGAAATATTTTACCATCTCTTCCTGTAGGGTATGCAGTTCACATGAAAGAATCATATGACAATATGAAGTACCTATTGACATGCATAAAATACGATGAGCACCAATGGCATATTTGTGGCGATTTGAAAGTTGTTGCACTTTTACTTGGGCTGCAGCTAGGCTACTCAAAGTTTTGCTGTTTTTTGTGTGAATGGGACAGTCGGGCAAAGGCACTTCATTACACCAGACAAAACTGGCGTGTTCGT